GTAAAAAAAAAAAAAAAACATAATCGACGGTCAATTGGCTGTCGATTATATTGCTTAGTATTTTGCAATTTCTTCCATATCATTTATAATCGACAATATTTCTGTCGATTAAAGACATATAATCGACAGAAAAAAATTTTGTCAATTATAATGATTTTCGACACGATTTTATGCGGCAAACAGTGCTGTCGATTATGTCTGTCGGTTATAGTTATAACCGACAAAAAATAACTTATAATCGACAATTTTTTCTGTCGATTATACCCGGTTTTCTAGTAGTGTATTATATAACTAAATAATTATATTTATCGAATCCGCTATTTATTATCCGTTACTAATTTTTCACTATTCGTCACCTGTTATCTGTTAATTGCTATCCGTTACCCACTATCATTTCTTGTTACCATTATCCATTACCTGTTATTCATTATCCATTATCCATTAAATTTTAATTTCTGTACCAAAAAAGCCCTTACTGTCAGCCGTGTAGACCACACCCAGACCACATCCCCCCTGGCTAATCGACGGGTTTGGTTTCCCTCACATATCATGATTTTGGTGAAAGAAGGGTTTGATTTCAACTTATTTTTGGGTTTATGAACCAAACGACTCCATTTAAATTAGTTTTCGGAAAAATATAGGGTTAAAGCCAACCATTATCCCTCTACTTTTGATATTTATTCATGTCCATCCCTCTACTAAGGATTTGTTCATTATCATCCCTCTACTTCACCAAAAGCACCAAGTGTCGTCCTGTACTCCAATTATTTTGTTCGTTATCATCCTTTTTCTGACGGAGTTGCCTTAGTTGTCTATTTGAACCGTTTAATCCACAAACGGTCAATTGTCAAAGCATTTCTTGGAATTTTTTTTTTTTCATTTGTGCTGATATCTAGGAGGAGAGAAGCACCCTTTCGTCAATGTCCTGCTCCACTTCTTTTTTCAAATTCAATTATTTATGTTGTTAATTTTTAATCTTATCTCCTATATTTATTTATTTTTATAGTAATTCACATTTAACCCAATTATTATGAACTAACAATTTTTAGTTAGAGAGGTGAACTATATTTAATACTACTATATAATGTATTGGTAAGTATACATGTTAAGTTAATAAATTATGATACTTTAAATTTTATATTGATTAGAAATGTAAATGTAAAGATTTATTATTATTGATAATTTAATGTTAAATTTTAGGTGTCATAAAGTTAACTTAAAAAGTTGTTAAGATTATTTTAATGAGTTTCTTTAATAGGTTTTAAAACATATGGTTAAGAGTATATTTATCGTATTTTTTCACAATTTATATAAAAAATTACGAAAGTAAATTATATTTTTAATACCAATCCCATACGAAATATTTTAATTAGATAGTCAATAAAATTGTAGTCAATTTTTATTTTTTTTATACAAATTAATGATGAAAAGATGCACATGTTAAAAAAGTTTTTTTTTAATAGAGGGTTTTTTAATATGATCTATTAAATATATTTTTTTATTATAAATTTGTATTAAAAAAATAAAAATTGACTTCTAATTTATCAATTATTCAATTAAATTTATCTATCAATATCAATATTAAAATTAGTATCAATTTTTAGATTTTTTTTATATGTATTTGTGACAAAAAAAGTTAGTTAAAAAAATCTTTTAATATTTGCCTTAAGTAAACAATTAAAAGTGTAATTAATGCACTTTTTAACTATTAAGTTGCATAAAAAATTAAATACTATTAATTTTAATTTTAATAATTAATCAATTAAATTAATACATATAATATTAGTATTAAAATTAATATTAACTTTTTTATTCTTTCATATTAAGTGACTAAAAAATGTATTAATTATACTTTAAGGCAAATTTTGAAAAAAAATATATTTCAATAACCACCTAACATCACAAATTTAATATAAAAATATTTACTTGTGTCTTAAGAATGCATGTATTACATATTTTCTCTATTTATTTGTATAAAAAATTACGAAAGTGAATCTTATTTCTAACATTAATATTACGTTAAACGATTTAATTAAATGGTTAATATAATTAAAGTTAATTTTTATTTTTTTATATAAAT